TGACTTTGCTACTGTATGTTTAGTTGATGCTAATGCTATATACGAAGCCTGAGGCGACCGATTTACATACTCTTTGGAAATGTCCTTTCTTTTTACATTTATAACAATAAGCGTCTTTAGCCGGGCATGCGGAGCGATGGTGGGGTCGATTACCGCAGAAGAAACATTTCGCTGATCTAGAAGAGGCGGCAACGTACCTTTCTATGCCGTTGTTCTCTTGATGTCCGTCAGATTGATCAATTTTATCTTGGTTTCGAATGCCCGTTGATTAATAAACGAATTCTCCCCGTCCTTATTTGATAGAGCAGCAGCTGTTATTGGAATTCCGTCTGCATAAGTTTCAGAAGTTCTCTGTGCTGTATCTAAGGCTCGGGGCTTGATCAAAAGCTGTCTGAAGGTCTAATGTTTTATTCCCAAAGAAGACGTTGGCGGATGTTAGTTGAAAGAAGACCTGCTATAAACGCGTCTCATTACAGCTTCGTCTCGATATTGATTTGATGTCACGCTACGAAAATTACAATCTTTGCTTGCGTTTTAATTCTTGCATATACTCATCAGGCCCTCGCCAGATTGTTGTTTACGAGTAGCTAACTTATGCGAAAATATCATTAGGAACCTTAACATAGAGATTTTTTAACAATTCTATGCTTCCTCGAAGGTTGTCGCTTCACAGAAAAGTTGATAAACGTCGGCAGAAACATAATTGACTAGAACCTTTAATTTGTTCACTTCTTCGTTAGGTATAGCAGCTACAAAGGGTTTTGGAAGAGTAGCAAACCAGTGCAACCACGATCTAGCAGCGTCTTGAGCGTTGGGATTGGTGTCAAAACGTTGTGGTATAAAACTTTCTCCATCACAGCATAAGTTGCGGAAGACACTTGATAGGATTGTCTAGCGAGAGCACCGAGATTCTGAGTGTTGTGTAAATTGTTGTAAAAGTTTTATTAAATATTTATTATCTCTTCTATATACTAACCTAAGGAGGTTTTACACAACACTGCTGGGGTTCAATGCAAAGACTCCTTAAATAATGGGCATACTTATTTACATTTACGTATATTTAAATTTCGTAATGAATTCTGTTCAACTTCGTAATGTTTAATGTCTCAAGAGAAAAGTTCACACGTGAAACAAGTTCATATATGAAATTTAAACACGTTCTATGTGAAATGAGTTCATATATGATTTGTTTGACTAACAAATATAGTTCACATATGAACATAATTTTTGTATAAACACATTCCCATATGTATACACTTTACTTGTGAAAAATTTCACAAATGCTAATAGCTATAGCAGTATACATGTACTTAAATTTTACACTGTTTCCCTCAACATTCTTAGTGGGCTGATGATATTCCAGACTTTATTTATGCAAAGTACTACAACTAACTTCTATTGCATTGAGGTTGAGTGTTGAATGAATGGAAAATGTTTGTCAGTCAGTTAGAACAAATATTGTGCGTTTGCATTATGGAGAAAGGAAATTCAAACCTTGACGAGTGTAAAGTTGATGAGCTATTGTCTTGTACGTAGCAAAGCCTTTATCTTTCTGAATTAGAGGAAAAGACGCCAAAAATCAAATAAATATCTAAGCTGCAAACGTCTTAATGCAAAATTCACATATTTCATCAATATATTTTTAACACCTTGCATTTATGAAGAAATGCTAGTCTTTTTTGAAAATCTGCATTTTGTTACTTACGTTGAAATCTCAAAATATCAACATATTTATACATATTTATACATATTATACATATATGATTTATACATATTAGTGATAAAATGTGGCAATTATATAGCCGAGAAAATGTACTTCAAAGTAAATACACATCACCATACCTAAAAACGTAGTTGTTAACGAGGATTTTTAAAAATTTTATCATGATTTGTAATCGCAATTAACCAGCCGCATTAAAATTTATAGTAAAAGGTACTTTTTTCCAGGTATTTCCCTTTTTAGATTTTTCTTTGTTTCATGTTTTTATGTAAAACACAAAAATTAATTACTTTTAAAGTAAGATTGTCGTTTTATGTTTTTGTTTCTCTTGCTAGTTCAAGTCAAAATATTGTACAGAAAGCTTCCAGTTTTCATCGTACTGCTCTAATAATGGTACGTGTCAAAAATCAGATGCTCCGTACCCTAAGACATGTAACTATTGTGAATGTAAAGAAGGATTTGTTGGTAAACGCTGTGAAAAGAAAGCAATGTCTTGTCAAAATTTTCATGGTCAGTCTGATGGCTGGTATACAATATTTACAAATAAAAATAAAATGGCCAAAGTTTATTGTCAATTTGATTCCATGAATGTTTGGACATTGGTTATGTCCTATAGCTTTAAGTTCCGTGCTCCGTATAGAGATCGTCCCTATTATGAAAATTTTCCTCGTAACGAAATGAATGAAACATGGGAAGATCACAGACTTTCTTTCGACGCAATGAAGAGTATAAAAGAAGACGGAAACACGTTATGGCGTATCACGTGCTCATACGGTGACAAAGGCTGGAATGAAACAGATTTAGTTATTGCAACCCATAAAAATGCACCAATTTTCCAAACGTTCATTACACCACCACCAGTTTGCCTGAACGTCAGGTATATTAATATTAGAGGCTACAACTGCAAAGACTGTAGCGTTCCTTTTTGGCAATATGATGTCGAAATTCTCCATTTAGATAGTTCATCAGCTTTAAATTACTGCAATAAGAAAGATTTTAAATCAACTTCCTGTACAGGTGAAGGAGGAGAAGATAATTTTGGATATTATAAATGTTATAACGCAAAACATCGTTGCTCATCATCAAATAATGCCACAACACAACTGTGGTTTGGCCAACAAATGAAGTATATTGATGAATAGAAACGATGACTTCATTTTCAAGGAACTTACAAAAAAAAAATGAAGTATATTGATGAATAGAAACAATGACTTCCTTTTCAAGGAACTTACCAAACTAAACTTTGTTTACATAAAACGTGAAAGAGTTAAAACAACTTACTAAGGAAACTTCATTTTAAATGTTTAATCAATTATATTTCATACCAGGATTTCATATAGTCAGTTTATCATTGCTAGTGTTAATTTACAATGTACACATAAATATTTCATAAACTACATAGGGATAGAAAAACAGGCAAATCTGCAAAATAAAAATATATTACCTTTAAAGTAAAACACTATAATTTTTTCCTGGCATTTTCAAATAAATTCTCTCTTATTGCACAGTTATTTAATATAGAGGTGCATAAAATGTCACAACCCACAATTTTATTTTTTAACATGAGTAAGCGGTATGTTTAAATCACAAAACTTTTTCAACCAGCACCTTTTATCAGAGGAAGCGCATAAATCAAATATGAAATTTCTCAAAATTGTTCTTCATTCATAGAGGTTTTGGACAACATATAATATGCCCTTTAGAACTAAGTGCTAGGGTTAATGGTAGAAAAAGATTAGACTGCTCTTTAAAAGATGCTCTTTGTCAAAGAAGGAATTTTGATGCTCTTCATGTTTGTATAATAACAACCCAATTACATATTAGAAAGTGTAGGACATACAATGTATACTATATATGAATGAAGTTGTATGGAAAATCGTATAACCCCCAATTTTAAAATTCTGATTTTGACAGTGATGGTGTTATGGAGGAGAAAATAATTTTATATATTATATATGTTATAACGAAGAACATCGTCAGATAATTCGAAAGCACAACAATTAATTGTTTTCTGAGGTAATGGTGACAGCACGCATGTCCAAAGAATTGCAGATAAAAGATTCCAAAAGCAAAATGATATTGAAGTTAAGCTACGATAGCTAATAAAGCAATTTTGAACTACCTTACCTATTTGCATTGCAGCTATGACTGATATGAATTCATCCATGATTTATGATAACAGTTTAAGCGCGGGCCACACTATCGTCGAAATGCAACGAATTTCGTGACGAGTCGCTCGTCAACGAGAAAATATGACGATATGGACGAATTCGTCGCCGTTGAGCATGCACACCGAAATCGTCGACGAGTGACGAGTAATTGTTGCATATCTACTCTGATTGGACAAAAAAAAATCACATGACTAATGTTTGCTTTCACTTTGCTGTGGCAAAATGGCGGATTGGCAAGAAATATTAATTGAGCTAGTGAGAGAGAGGCGATGTTTGTGGGACAAATTTTATCCTGACTATAAAGATACACGCAATATAAAGAAAAATAATTGGAAGGATGTTGCTCGGGAACTGAAAGTTGCGACCAATTGAGCTTGACGAAGCTCTTGCAACAACGTGTCATACAAGCCCTTCTCTTCTTGCCTTTTATTTATGGGATGTACCCAGAACCTTCTTTTGTATGTACGTCGTTTTGCAGAAATTAGAAGCAGTAGAATTTTTCTCTTCAATAATAGAAGTTTCTTTTTGCGCTGATAATCGTCCATGCTTGTACGGAAAATCGTTACAATGTGGCACATGTACTCGTCACGACGGCTCGTTGACGAGCGACTCGTCACGAAATTCGTTGCATTTCGACGATAGTGTGGCCCGCGCTTTACACACATTTTTGTCTTACGTTGTACTTAACAGATTTATGTTTGTATTTTTAAATTGTATTATAGGAGAGCCTTTTGGAATCAGCTGTTGATGAAAGCTCACTGTATTTCTTGTGAAAGTGCCCTTAACACAAAAAAAGATTTTGCGTATTCTGAATCTTTATGATACTATACATTGCAACAACAGCTGTCGCAGATAAATTTCACGAGGTTTTAGTCAAGTTTTAGCCCTACGAAATTCGAAAATTTTAAATTTTAACAATAAAAGTTTTTCAAAACCGCGAAGCCGGAAAACCGAAGTTTTAATATTCACAAACAAATGAAAATGATCTATTTCTCAATCTAAACTACCAAAAAACATTTTAATTTTGTCATACGATACATAAATAACTCCTTCTCAACTGTAAAAATATGAATAAATGGGGGCATTTCGACCTTAGACTGACCGATTTGTATGCACACGGAATAATTACTTCAAATATTTGCTGGCTGCAGTTTATATCTTAATTGATTGATTTATCTGGAGACATGACTCAATACCAAATTTTTTTAATAATCTTTCTTCTAAGTTAGTGCAAAATTTTATGGAGATTTCCATCATATCCAATTCATTTAATTTCAGGAAAAGACTTTTGTCCGGATGACTTTGGCTTAACCACTGACAATCACTTATATATATTACGAAACTAATGTTGGGTACGAGACAAACCTTAGAGAAAATATAAACAGTAAAGCCCAGAAATATACAAGCCTTATAACTAATTTTAGAAAGAAATTTAGTTTTATACACAAATATTATAGCTTTAAACAGAAATGTTATAGCTCTATGCACAATTATTGTAGGTTCTTTGGTTAATTAAAATTGATCGTATTGGATGATGGAGTGCATGTTTGTAGATTTCCATAGATGTTTAATAGCTTCGTTATAAGAATTTTTTTAAACTGATATTTGTCAACCTTTCCATCAGTCATTTGGGGTTTTCCACAAGGATTTTAATACTTTATGCAATTGCTCGATAGCTTGAGCTTTGATCAAAATCATGAAAATATGTAAGTAAATGTGTGAGAAAAATATTCCCATAAGATAAACGTATTACATTTTAGCTGTCAAAAAAACAATAGACAATGGTAGATTTTATTAGATTTTAATAAACACTTTTATTAAACACGTATATACTGAAGACTTACTTTAGTTACTACAATATAATCATGTAGCCATATGCATGTTATCTTTAAAAGAGAGACTTGCAATTGTATATAATGTAAACAAAACTAAATAAATTTTCATTATCATTATTAATAGTATAGTTACATTTTGTCGCAATAAAAGATCAAATTAGAAAGTGTTTACATAAGTAATTGTAAAAATGTACGACTAGAATTCCGTATGAGAAGATTATTACTAGATGATTTTTACAATGAAGATTCTCACATTATGTAAAAAAATGAAAGATTACATATATTTATGACGCTAAAATAACAATTTTTGAAAGTAACTAAACATTATTATTTCGTAAAAGCACTATTGCTAATGTGCATTTAATATGCACGACACGTTTTTTTAAAATAGACATGTTTCTACATCTCATGATGCCATCTTCAGTATAAGTGAAATAATAAATGATACAAGGTTTATATAAAAATAATATGATATTTATTTATGCAAGTCAGACTACCCAACTTCTCAACTTTTGAGTCAATGCACAAGATTTAGTAATATATACAGTAATGTTAAAATTTCGTTTTTTGTTTGTTTTTTTAATGCAAAACATGAATTTGAACCATAAATCAAAGAAAACTAACTTTAGACGCTTACAGAAAAAGCTGCTATAGTGGAGCAATCTCTTAGAACATTAACTATCAAATTTCGGATGACTATCAAAATTAATTGAACTATCAAAACTTCTTTGAGAACTTGCGCTTTTTTCGCAAATTGTACGTAATTCATGTGACTTATTTAACTTAGCCCAGATCCACCCCAGGAATGTTAAATGAATAGGAAAGTGTTTGTCTGTCAATTTCAAAAAATCTCAAACGTTTGCGTTTTTATAAAACAAATTCAAAATTAAATTACGTTTTAAGTTGAAGTAGAAAAACATCATTTGGCTTTATCTACTTTTACGTGTATAAAATTTACGAACGAGGGTATTAATTGTGGCAAGATATTTATGTCTCTAAATTAGAGGGAAAACACCAGAAAATCAAACAAATAACTAAACAGCTTGTTTTTTAAAACATTATTTCTATTTTTTATTAATTTACATTCAACACCATTTGAAATTTCAATTAAATACAGATTTCATCATTTACCAATACATTTATATTTATATACAGCGCTAAAATTATATTCTTTTAGACGTGAGAATGTCAGTTTTATGGACATATATTTTCTTTCACTTTCTAGTTAAAGTTAAATTATTGTATAAAAGTTTCCATATAAAACGGATTACTGTCGAAGGTCATTGTATAGCTATAACAATGGTACGTGCCAATAATCAAGCACATCATACAGTAAGACTTGCTCCTTTTTGAATGTTCAGAAGGATTTGTTAGTCAACCTTGTAAAAAGCAATGTCTTGCCAAAATTATTCGGTTTCTTCTAATGGCTAGTATAAATCATTTACAAAAGACAGCGAAATTGTCAAAGTCTACTGTCGGTTTGCCTTTGTGAATGCTAGGATTTTGGTTATATCCTATAGCTTAAAATTCTTTGCCCACTATAGATAGAAACCATACTATAAAAAATTCCCTCGAAATGAAACGATCGAAACGTAGGAACATCACAGATTTTTATTTGACGCAATTATCGGTATAAAAAATAATGGAATTATGTTATGGCGTATCACGTTTTCATACGTTAAGAAAGGCTGGAATGAAGCACAATTAGTAATTGCAACCCATGAAAATGCACCCGTTTTAAAAGAGTTCACTACAGTACCAGTTTGCCTAAATGTCAGTTCTATCGATATCAGAGACTACAGCTGTAAAGATTGCAGCATTCTTTATTTTCAAATTAGGAAGAGTTTTCAATTATCTGGTTATAGCGATGATTATGTTTATTGAGGAGAAGATTATTTTAAATATCATGTATAAAACAGAATGTGGTTGTCATCTGTTATAACAGTAAACATCGTTGCTCATTGTCAGGAAATGCAACAACAGAACTATGGTTTGATTTACGTATTAAGTTCAATCAACAAAAAAACCCAATATTCTTTTTAAAGCTATTTTAACATAAATTGCATATTGATGGTTTGTCATTCGAAATTTAAGTAAAACTTTTCATTAACTAAAGAACTTCACCTTTAATAAGCACATAAGTCTTTGAACATACCTTGTCAACAATCCAATTTCACCTCTTTGTCATGTTAAACAAAAAACTGTTAGCAAAGAAGTCGGAAACTAACTTAAATTTATTCATTAAAACT